GCTCCGTTTCGGAGCGAACCCTGGAGGCGCCCTGGGCAGGGGGCGCTTGTAGCAACGCCTGCCATGGTTTTGTGGATCGGCGGGGGCGTCGCGGCGGAGTGCCGCGGTGCCCTCGAGCAGCCGTCCGAGAGCGCCTGGCAGGCCCAAGAGGGCCACATGCGAACCCGCGCGTGCACCCCGCGATTTCTGAGGGGGGAGGTAGGGTTCACTTTGCTCGGGAGCTGCCGAACGAAGTGATCCCCCGCCCTCCTCTTCAGAAATCGCGGGTAGGGTTCGCGCGTGGCCTCCCGGGGACGCCGCGAGGATCCTCCGCGAGCTCGGCGCCGCTGGCCCCCCTGCGAGAGTTGCTTCGCACCGAGCGACGCGCTGTGCCAAGCAGACGGTTGAAACTGCGGCCTGTGGACGAGTCGCTGGATGGAGCGCGCCCTGCGCGAGATCCGAGGCGAGGGCCGCCAAGCGCCCGTGAATCTGAACGCGATGCGCGCCCGCGGCAACGAGTGGGTCGACAAGCTCAAGGAGGCCGGCGATAATGACTTGGCGACGGCCAAAGCCAATGCCAAGGCCAAGACCAAGGCCAAACACAAATCCAGCAGGGGTCCCCGCGGCGGCCGAGCCGAAGTGCGCCGCCTTCGAGGAGGCAAGCGTCGCCGCCTAGCTTTGCACCAAGTGTCTTCCATGCAAGGGCGGCTCCAAAGGATGCCGTGCTTGCGTGTGGGACTGGTTATAAGTCCAGCGGGAGAGAGGTTTCTTGGCCAGACCGGCCCAGGACCTCTCTTGCGCTGGCAAGTTGTAGGCGCGAACCTCGAGGTCTCTCAAGTCAGTCTTGTGCCGAGCGTCTGCTGGCAAGTCGTATAGCCGCGGCCCTCGGGATCTCTCCAGTCAGTCTTGTGCTGAGCGCCTGCTTGCAAGTTGTATAACCACGAGCCCCGAGATCTCTCGAGTCCGTCTTGTGCCGATCGCCTGCTGGCAAATTGTGTAACCGCGACCCTCGATATCTCTCGAGTCAGTCTTGTGCCGAGCGCCCACGATCACCATCATCATCAGCATCTTCATCATCGTCATCGCTATCGTCATCATCATCATCCTCATCCCCCGGTATATCTCTTTTTATCCCCGCCATATGCCCGAACTTTATTATCCTACAGTGATAAGCATCGCCCGCGCACGGTTGCGCGCTAAGTGGGGGGAGCGCGCCCTACTGCCGCCATTTCACTCCCAGTTCCCTGACAATAGGAGCGAGGAGCACCGTGGGAGGGTGGGCAAGAGGGCTCCGAGCAGGCCCCATGAAAACTCAAAAGGGGCCCCAGGAAAGCTTCGATGGGGGCCTGGAGAACGCCCAGGGAGGATCTTGCGACCCCAAGAGGGGCCCTAACAGCGCCCCAATATAATCCAACAGCTACCCCCAAGAGCAGCTAGGGAAGTCTAGAAAGTAGTGGGAAGGACATAGCAAAAGGGGTGGAGAGGGGAAGGGGGAAGTGGAAGATGGTGGGCCTTCCAGGTACACGCTAAAGTGTAGGGAAAGCGCCCTACTGCCGCCATTTCACTTCCATTCCCCTGACAATAGGAACGGGGGGCACCATGGGAGGGTGGGCGAGCGGGCCCCGAGCAGGCCCCATGAACGTTCAAGAGGGGCCCCAAGGGGGGTCCCAAAACGCCCAGGAAGGGCCTGACAACCCAATAAGGGCCCCGATGGTCCACAACAGCGCCCCAAGAGAACCCGACACATATCCCCGAGAGCACCCAGGGAAGTCCAGAAAAGAAGTGGGAGGAAATCCAGGGAAGTCTAAGAAGAGAACCCAAGAGAACCCAGGGAAGTTAAATTACCCTGGCGACGTACCCAACCCCTGCGCAATACGGGACATGATTAGCTCGGGAGACGTTCAACGCAGGTGATGACGTGTCATGGTCGCATATATTTCTGAGAGCTGCATTCGCAGCTCCCCAAAGATTGCGAGGTTCCGCTCAGATCTGCGTGGTGCCTCACTCCGCTGGACCCGCCAGCAGCCCTCGAAAGTAGAGACGGTGCAGATCGCTGCCCCTCAATGACGAGGTCCCGCTCGGATCTGCGCGGTGCCTCACTCCGCTGGCCCCACCGGCAGCCTTTGAAAGTGGCGACGGTTTCGCAGATCGCAGCCCTCCAGGGACGGCGAGGTCTCGCTCAGATCTGCGCGGTGCTTCACTCCGCTGGGCCCACCGGCAGCCTTCGAAGATGGTGACAGTTTCGCGGATCGCTATGCTGGCTCCTCAAGCAGCTTTCAAAAGTGGCGACAGGTTCGCAGATCGCAGCTCCCCAGGGACGGCGAGGTCCCGCTCAGATCTGCGCGGTGCCTCACTCCGCTGGACCCAGCAGCAGCCCTCGAAAATGGCGACAGGTTCGCAGATCGCAGCCCCCCCAGGGACGGCGAGCTACCGCTCAGATCTGCGCGGTGCCTCACTCCGCAGGACCCGCCAGCAGCCCTCGAAAGTGGCGACGGTTTGGCAGATTGCAGCCCCCCTGGGACGGCGAGCTACTGCTCTGATCTGCGCGGTGACTGACTCCGCTGGATCCGCCAGCTGCCCTCGAAAGTGGCGGCAGCTTCGCAGATCGCCCCCCCCCAGGGACGGCGAGGTCCCGCTCAGATCTGCGCGGTGCCTCACTCCGCTGGACCCACCAGCAGCCCTCGAAAGTGGCGACAATTTCGCAGATCGCAGCCCCCCCAGGGACGGCGAGGTCCCGCTCAGATCTTCGCGGTGCCTCACTCCGTTGGACCCGCCAACCGCCCTCGAAAATGGCGACAGCCTCGCAGATCGCAGCCCCCCAGGGACGGCGAGCCACCGCTCAGATCTGCGCGGTGCCTCACTCCGCTGGACCCCTCGAAAGTGGCGGCAGTTTCGCAGGTCGCAGCCACCCAAGGACGGTGAGGTCCCGCTCAGATCTGCGCGGTGCCTCATTCCGCTGGACCCACCAGCCGCCTTCGAAAGTGGCCGCAGTTTCGCAAACCGCAGCCCCCCAGGGACGGCGAGTTACCGCTTAGCTCTGCGCGGTGCCTCACCCCGCTGGACCCACCAGCATCCCTCGAAAGTGGCGACAGTTTCGCAGATCGCAGCCCTCCAGGGACGGCGAGCTACCGCTCAGATCTGCGCGGTGCCTCAATCCGCTGGATCCGCCAGCGACCCTCGGAAGTGGCGACAGCTGCGCAGATCGCAGCCCACCAGGGACGGCGAACTACCGTTCAGATTTGCGCGGTGCCTCACTCCGCTAGACCCACCAGCAGCCCTCGAAAGTGGCGACAGCTGCGCAGATCGCAGCCCACCAGGGACGGCGAACTACCGTTCAGATTTGCGCGGTGCCTCACTCCGCTGGACCCACCAGCAGCCCTCGAAAGTGGCGGCAGCTTCGCAGATCGCAGCCGCCCAGGGACGGCGAGGTCCCGCTCAGATCTGTGGGTTGCCTCATTCCGCTGGACCCACCAGCAGCCCTCGAAAGTGGTGACAGTTTCGCAGACCGCAGCCCCCCAGGGACAGCGAGCTACCGCTCAGATCTGTGCGGTGCCTCACTCCGCAGGACCCGCCAGCAGCCCTCGAAAGTGGCGACAGCTGCGCAGATCGCAGCCCCCCAGGGACGGCGAACTACCGTTCAGATTTGCGCGGTGCCTCACTCCGTAGGACCCGCCAGCAGCCCTCGAAAGTGGCGACGGTTTGGCAGATTGCAGCCCCCCCCAGGGACGGCGAGCTACCGCTCAGATCTTCGCGGTGCCTCACTCCGCTGGACCCACCAACAGCCCTCGAAAGTGGCGACGGTTTGGCAGATTGCAGCCCCCCTGGGACGGCGAGCTACTGCTCTGATCTGCGCGGTGCCTCACCCCGCTGGACCCACCAGCATCCCTCGAAAGTGGCGACAGTTTCGCAGATCGCAGACCCCCAGGGACGGCGAGGTCCCGCTCAGATCTGCGCGTTGCCTCACTCCGCATGACCCACCAGCAGCCCTCGAACGTGGCGACAGCTTGGAAGATCTCAGCACACCCCGCGGTACCGCAGGCAAGATGCACACACAAGAGGTATGCACAAGGCAAGAGGAGACAAGAGGGAGGCGGGAGGAAGGACGCGCGAGCAGTGCGAAAGTCAAAACGAATCCCCAACCAAGGAGTGTTGGGAACAACAAGTGGGAGGGAACAGACAGAAGGGGTGGAGAGGGGAGGGGGACAGGGAAGAGGGGGCATTCAAAGTACACGCTGCGTGGGGGGAGACGCCCTACTGCCGCAATTTCTTTTCGATTCCCCTGACAATGAGACTGGGGAGCACCATGGGAGGGTGGGCAAGAGGGCCCGAGCAGGCCCCGTGAAAGCTCAAGAGGGGCCCCAAGGGGGCCCCAAGGGGGGCCCGAGAACGCCCAGGAAGGGCTTGGTGAACCCAAGAGGGACCTCAATGGCCCACAACAGCGCCCCAAGAGAACCCAACACATACCCCCAAGAGCACCCAAGGAAGTCTAAAGGAGAAGTGAGAGGGACAAGACAGACTGGGTGGAGAGGGGCGGGGGGAGGGGGAATAGGGGGCATTCCTGGTACACGCTAAGTGGGGTGAAACGCCCTACTGCCGAAATTTCACTTCCATTCCCCCGACAATGAGACTGGGGAGCACCATGGGAGGGTGGGCAAGAGGGCCCCGAGCAGGCCCCATGAAAGCTCAAGAGGGGCCCCAAGGGGACCCCAAGGGAGCCCCGAGAACGCCCAGGAAGGGCCTGGCGAACCCAAGGCCCACAACAGCGCCCCAAGAGAACCCAACACATACACCCAAGAGCACCCAGGGAAGTTCAAAAAGAAGTGGGAGGGAAAATACAGAAGGGGTGGAGAGGGGAGGGGGGAGAGGGAAGACGGGGGGGGCATTCCATGTACACGCTAAGTGTGGGGAAAGCACCCTACTGCCGCCATCTTCGGGTGAGGCCTCGGCGGCGAGCGTGGGAGGGGAAGTGAGAAGGAGAAGGCCTTCTCATAAGGCGGCTGGATTTCACGACTTCCGAACCTTCTGAGAAGGCTCGCCCTTTTTCACTTCCCCCCGGGCTCGCCGCCGAGCTGTGACGTCAGGGCCGCCCAGGTGGGGCCGGACCAGGTGGGGTCGGGCGATCCGCGCGGCATCGCCAGTTTGGAACAATTTTTTGAAAGTCGCTGGCTCTCACGATCGACTTGATGCCTACTCCCGCCCAGGGCGGTGCAGCTCGCGCGTGGGAGCAGGCAGTCAAAGGTTGGCCCGGATGCTGAAGACATCCAGCCGCCAGGCCGCATCTCAAGGCTCACCCTGCTCACGCACCGTCTACTGCAAGGTTTGCCTGACCTGACTTTGGACCGCTCTTGGAGCTCTCTTGGCGCCTTCTGGGGGCGTCTTCAGCCTCCCTGCGCGATCTCATCGCGCTCCTGGGCTCCTCTTGGGGCCGTTTCGGGGCTCTCCGGCTATAATCGGTGCCTCTTGGGCAGTTTTTTGATGGACTCTTTGGCCGTCTTGGAGCAGTCTTAGGCGCCTCTGGTGCTCTATTGGAGCGTGGGGCGCTCGAAGAGACGATGACATGAAATAGCCTGGCGAAAGGCCCAACCATATGCAGTTGTGAGTACACCAGTTGTGGGTCTCGTCTTCGGTGGAGCTCCGTATGGGGCCACGAAGCGCTGTATTGTGTGGGGGAGAAGCATGCGAACTTTGCCGCTGGGGCCTTCAGTGGAGCTCCCTATGGGCAACGAAACGCTGTCCTGTGCAGAGGAGACCCATGCGGAAAGTGCCACTGGGGCCTTCGGTGCAGCTTCCTATGTGGCCACGAAAGGTTGTCCTGTGTAGGGGAGACGCAAGCGGACGGCGCCACTGGCGCCGTCGGTAGAGCTCGTGCCACTGGTGCCGTCGGTGGAGCTCTTTATAGGGCCACAAAGCGCGGTATTGGGTGGGGCAGACCCATGTGAACGGTGGCATTGAAGCCTCTGGTGGAGCTCCCTGTGGGCCACGAAACGCTGTAGTGGGTCGGGGACACGCATGCGAACTTTGTGCCAGTGGGGCCTTCGGTGAAGCTCCCTATGGGCCACTAAACGCTGTACTGGGTGGGGGGGACGCATACAAACGGTGCCACTGCGGCCTTCGGTGGAGCTACGTATGGGGCCACGAAGCGCTGCACTGGGTGGGGGGGACGAGTGCGGGTGGTAGCAGCGGGACCTTCGGTGGAGTTCCCTGTGTGGCCATGACACGCTGGATTGGGTGGGTTGGGGAGGACGCGTGTGGGCGGTAGCGTTGGGACCTTCGGTACGGAGCCACGAAACGTTGTACTGGGTGAGGGGACGCATGCGGGCGGTAGCAATGGGGCCGTCGGTGGAGCTCCCTATGGGGCCAGAAAGCGTGAGAGTGGTGTGCCAAAATGGTTGAGTGGTGCGGAGGCAGCGGCAGGTCGGGGAGGAACAAGGGGGAGGAGGAGGAGGAGGGAAACGCTGGGCATTGTGTCGTCAAAACGAGGACCCAACGACGCAACATCGAACAACACAAAGTGAACCAATGATTTTTGCATCGTGGGGCCTTCTCGAGAGTCCTTTTTGGGAGCCTCTTAGGCATTCTTGGAGTGGTCTTCGGTTCCTCTTGGGGCTATCTTGACCGTCTTGGAGCGCTGTTGGGCTGTTTTAGAGACCTCTTCGACCGATCTTGAAGGATTCTTGGCGCTTTTTGGGGGCGTCTTCAGCCTCACGGCGCGATCCCAGCGCGCTCCTAGGGCCCCGTGGCCCCCATGGCGCGTCGGGGGGTCACCATGGGAGCCACCAGCCCTGTCCCCTGGTGTGTGTGTGTGTGTGTGTGTGAGTGTGGCTTACACCATTTCGCCGACCCCCAGAAGCGGGAAAACGCGTCGCTCGTGGTGGAGGTTGCAGTTCGTAGGTGGGAGTAGAAGTGGATCAGGGCGAGGAGGAGGAGGAGGAGGATGAGGAGAAGGAGGAGGAGGAGGAGGAGGAGGAGGAGGTTAAGGAGAAAGATGAGGACGAGGAGGAGGAGGAGGGCAAGGAGAATAATGATGATGCTGACTATGATGATGATGATGATGATGATGATGATGATGATGATGATGAGGAGGAGGAGGATGAGGATGAGGATTAGGATGAGGATGAGGATGATGATGATGATGATGATGATGATGATGATGATGATGATGATGATGATGATGATGATGATGATGATGATGATGATGATGATTATGATGATGATGGTGATGGTGATGGTGATGGTGATGGTGATGGTGATGGTGATGGTGATGGTGATGGTGATGATGATGATGATGATGATGATGATGAGGAGGAGGAGGAGGAGGAGGAGGAGGAGGAGGAGGAGGAGGTAGAAGAGGAGGAGGATGAGGAGGCGGAGGAGGAGGAGGAGGGAGGAGGAGAAAGAGAAGGGAAGGAGGAGGAGAGGGAGAAGGAGAGGGGCTTGAAGCGAGCGAGCTTGAAGCAAAGGCTCAGTCCAAAGCCTTGCGTTCCGGCCCCCTTCTCAGCCTTCCCATCCGCATCTTCCCGA